ACTCCAAAGGCACACAAACACAGGTGTTAGGACACTGACATTAAGATCTCAACAGTAAAAAGACATTTTAGAAGCAGCATTTAGATATGCTGTACCAGGACATCAGAATGTGTTACATTAACAGCCCTTCCAGCACTTCAGAAAAATAGCATTACCATTGCAGGGCTGGTGCAAGGTAGGCATGTTGGTGGAAATATATATGCATGACATTGAACTTGCCTTAGCTGTTGATAGGTAAGATATTTTGGGCCATATTTTTCATAAAGCAGCAGCAGAAGTACAGTTTTTTTTTTAAAAAATCTTTAAAAAGAAACATGATTTTCATTATCCCAGTGCTAGCTTCTATTAATTTTCAGAAAAATGTTTAGACAAATTGCTCGGATACTCAGACAGTCGTGTATAATCTGTCATCCTATCTTGGTTTCTCTACACAGATCTGAAGAAAGAATTCGGATCTCTGAAGCTTTCATTGGAAGAATGAATACCTTTGTCAGTAGTTTTGTTTGTCTGTGTTTGCTTACACATATCGTACCTAAGAAACTATTCTTTCTACATTTTCCATGAATTTGTAAACCCTAATGGTACTATAAAATATTTCTTAGGTCACTTTAATGTAATACACTATCTTCTCATGCTCGAAAAGCAGTTACGTTTCCTGTTTTTTGTTATTTTTTTTCATATGCTTGAATTTTATCAGAAGAAACCATGTCATTTTGATGACTCTTGAATGTTTTGGGAACCTGCTTTTTCCTTCTCTAGTAGTATCAATTCAGTTCTTGCTGAAGATGAAACAACGGGCACAGAAGACATGTCTCCTGAAGTTTCAATATCTTTCTCCGTGATTATCTCTTTCGGTGGTAAGGTTTCTTGTGCATCAAAAAAAGTCTCTGATTTTTCTGTTGGACTATCATCATCCTGAGCTATTTCTTCGTTTGGATCTATCTCCTCTTCTTTATCACCTTCCTTGCCTTTTTTGGTGGGTGATGCAAAACCTAATTTGGGAAATCTAAACCACGCAGCTTTTTCAGATTGTTTGGCCAAGTCACTTTCTGATGTGGATGGGTCATCAGGCTGAGTTTCTTCTGCAAATGATTTTTGAACATCAGGTTTAGTATCGGAGCCTGTATCATCGACGGAGGAAGAAAACCCAATGCTTGGAAACCAAAATTTAAATCTGCCAGTAGATTTCTTACTATCAGTTTTTTCTTTCTGATCTGTTGGCTCTTCTTCAGTAACTACAACATTAGTTTCTTCTGTGACGTCCACGGTTGGTTCAGACATCTGTTTAGACTGCTTATCTTCTGCAGATTCACTGGCAGACTGTACTTCAACTGTAAACGCTTTCATTTTTGTCAGTGTTGTAGTGGAAGATGTTCCTTTATCCGATTCACCATCTCCACCTTTGTCAGGTATTTTAAGTTCAACAAAACCAGTCATTTGTGTTGCTTCTCCTGAACCTTCATCTGAAGCATGATGATCTTTACTTGTGTACGTTTCATTCACATATTCTGAAGAAGACAATGTGATTGGTCTGTCTAAACTCACATGTGATTCTTGAATTTTCACTTTGAGAAGAGAAAACCCCAAAGAAGCAGTTTTAACTTCTGTGGGAGGAATCTCAGATTCTTTCACTATTTCAGTGGAGAAAGATTCTGGCATCTCAACATCACTGGAGCCACATTCAGATTTACCTTGTAATTTTATTTCTTCACCCTCAGCGTACAGTTCTTGGATATGCTGTGGCACACTTGAAATAAATGAATCTGGAGATGGAAGTTTTATCTCAAGTCGTGTTGTCTGAATATCTGGTTCAATCAGTGTTGTAATTTTAGCTACTGATTTTTGGATTTTGACATCCATGGTGTCTATTTTCTCTGTAGGAAATCCAGTGCTAAATTCTGCTGGCCTTTGTACATGTGTGGTTCTCTCTTCAGAAGAAAGCTCTGTAGATGGAACTCTGTGTTCCACCTGTGTTCTTTGAATAGTAGGTTTGGACAGAGTTGTGATCTTGACCTTTGATTTCTGGATACTATAACTTGTGTCTCCTACTTTCTCTTCAGGAACTGGAATCCTGAATCCTATTTGAGATGCATCATCACTATCAGAAGCAGCACACTTCATATCTGTTGCCCCTTCTGAAGTTAAAATTTGACCTTCGGTAGTGAGTGTGCTGTGTGTGAACTTGAGTATTTTCAGTTTGGGAATATGGAAGCCCAGCTCTGAATCTCCAAATTGTTTGTCCATAACATCTGCTGTTTTTTCTGAAAAATCTAACTTTGAACCTTTCATAACGGCCTTTTCATCCTGAACTCCAAATTTCTCTCCTTCAGATTTAGCCGCTGATGTCTTGGCCTCTATCTTGGTTTGATCACCATGAACTTCAGAACTCTGTGATTTGGTACGTAAACTGCCAAGCTTCGGTATCTTGAATTTAGCTGCTTTTTTCCTGCTTGATCCATCTCTCTCTTCTACTTTCATGTCACTTTCTGTGACTACCTCTTTTTCATACTCTTCAGTTGGGAAGTCAATTATTTCAAAGCCTTCATCCGTAACTGAAACATCAATTTTCATTTCTGAAGGGACAACATCAACCTCTTCTTGGTCAGCTGGAATCTCAGTAGTCTTTGTGGTGGACCATCCAAATGAAGGCACCCCAAACTTTGGCATTTTGAAGAGGCTTTCTTTTCCCTGAATATCTTTTTTGGGTGATTTAATTTTGCTTTCCATCTTTTCACCTTTTGCTGCTGCAGAGGGGCTTTGTACAACCATCTCTGTCTCGATAACAGCAGTATCAATTTCCACATCTGCTTCTCTTGTAGGAATTTTGGTAGAGGATTCCTCAGCCATTGATTTGGCTTTGTACTGCTGAGCTGAAACATCACATTTAGGGAGATTTACATCAATATCCAATTCTGGTACATTGATTTCCGATGTAGATACAGTGACTGTAGGTTTATGAATTTGTAAAGTTTCAGCACCATGCTTAACTATATCAGCATATGTTTTTGTCCCTTGAGCACTTAATTTACTATCTGCTTTTCCAGAGGTTTGTGAAAGGGTGCCTTCACTCCAAAGTAGGCCACTGTCAGATCCCTTTTCTTTTCCCACTGAAATTCCTCTAATCTCCTCTTGTGGAAGCACGACTTCGCATTCTAAAACATCCTTTCCAGAATATGTTTCAGTATCAATACGGGTTGGAACTTCAGGGGCCTTTATTTCAACTCGTACTTTTCCAGTGCTGCCTTCAACTTCAGCATCATCTTTTTTCCCCTTTGATGATGATCGCCCAAATGAAGGCATCCTGAACTTTGGCATTTTAAACCATCCCTGAGATTCCTCAGTCTGTCCTTCTTCAGACTTCACTTTATGTTCTCCTTCTACTTTTATATCCATTTCACCAGAGCTGACAACAGACACATCAGATGCTTTGATCTCAACACTGGGAGCTTCTGGTATTGTAATTTTCCCAACTGAAATCTTTGTTTCTGATTCAGTAGCCTCAGCTTTAAGTTCCAAGGTTGGAATGTCTCTATCAAGTATCTCTATTTCTGTTGGCGCCTGTTGTTGAGTTATTCCAGATTCTTCTCTGATGCCACTTTCAGACCCTTCTCCTTCAGATGAAATTCCAAACACTGGCATTTGGAGTTTTGGCAATCTAATCTTCCCCTCAGTGCTATCGGTTTTTGTACTTGCACTATCCACATCCGTTTCACCTTTGAACCCTGTTTCCCAGCTCTTCAATTTAAATGAACTATCTATTACAGGTAGCCCAACATCAGCTTTAATATCTCTTTGGAGAGTTTTGATTTCTGCTTTTGATATATCTTTTGGCATTTTAATGCTTATTTCAGTTTCTTCTTCTTTTCTTGTGGAAAAACTCCTTTCTATGTCAGGTATTTGAACCAAAGCCGTATCTCTTTCAACGTCTGCTTCTACTTTTGACATGCTACCTTGTGATTTCGGTAACTTTGTCCTAGGCAGTGAAATTTTGGGCATGGTAAAATGAGGCCTTTTCATCTGACCTTTTTTGGTAGTTGCTTCAGCATCTTGGTCCATGAGGACTTCTTGATCTTGTGATAGACTTTCCTTTATTTCTTCATCTTTGTCTGCAGTCTGCTTAGTTTCTTCTAGAGGTTCTTGAATGCTAGTTTTCAAGCTTGCTTCTTTTTTAGGTGACCAATTAAATGACGGTAATTTGAATTTTGGCATTTTGAAATGTTCTTCTTTCTCTTCTGCATCTACACGTTCAGCTTTAATTTCTTGCTGAACCTTTGCTTCCATGCCACCTGAATCTTGAGTCTCTCTCTCTGGTTGTGTCAGAGGAAGACTAGCTGATGGTAATGCTACATCCACAGCTATAGCCCTCATATCAATTGTAGGGATTTGTGTTTTTTTAATGCCCTCACCTTGAACAGTTTTTTCTGTTCCAGTTATATCAAATACTGCAGCGTCGATGGCAATATCAGCAATATCTGTTGTTTTCCTCAGTTGAGGAACAGCAGTGTCCTCAGATGGTAGACTAGTATCAATTTCTGGGGCTTTTCCCTTAGAAAATGAGATTCCGAATTTTGGCATTTGAAATTTTGGCTTTTTAATCTTTACATCAATACCTTCAGTTTTTACCTCACCTACATTTACAGATATTTCAGTGGAATGTCCTTCAAGATTTAATTCTGGACCTGGCACCATAGACACCTTAGATCCTGGTTTACTTGTACTTTCACCAATATCTCCCAGTTTTAATTCTGGTTTTGAAACACTGACATCAAGTACAGGATGTTCAGCATCACTTTTACTTAAGCAGACTTCCATATCTATTTTAGGACTTTTAATTTCAGACCTGGAAATTTGCAGGCCTGGGAGCTCAACTTTGGGCCTCTGGGAGCCCTCACTAACAACAGTAGAACTGAAGTCTTTTTCTGGTACTGAAACATCTCCTTCAGCTGTAAGAATTCTCATGCCAGTATAGGCTTCTGGTACAGATATTTCAGCTTTATGAGTCTTCATTTTGGAAAGAGATATTTTTGGCATGCTAAATTGAGGCATTCTAATCCTACTCTTTTCACTGTCTTTTTCCTCAGAAATAGAACACTCCAGTTCTACAGTCTGGCCTTCAACAGACTCTACAGTAAGTGTTAATTCCGATTCAATGTCACTAGCAGATATTCCACCTAAAGGTTCTTCTAGATTTGTATTCGTACCAGCAGTAACACTTGCTTCTTTCTTCGGAGACCAGCTAAACGATGGTAGCTTGAATTTGGGCATTTTAAACTTGCTGTCTTTTCCAACAGTGTCCTTTTCATCGGTTTCACTTTTCTGATCTTTGCTGTTGAAAGGAGAAACCACGGAAGGCTCCATGAGCTCGGGTTTGAGTTCGGGCTGGGGCAATTCTGCATCCGGTAAGGTGATTTCTGCTCCTGCACTTGCCTTCCCTTTAGGGAGAGATACTCCAAACTTGGGCATGTGGAACTTTGGCATTTTGAACCTGCTGTCCACTCCTTCCAGCTTCACGTCAGGGCCTTCCACGGAAATGTCAACCGAGGGTGCCTCCATTTCTAGTCCTGGAGCTTTAAGTTCTCCAGCTGGAAGCTTAACGTCAGGGCCGGAGAGGCTGACGTCAGCAGCAAGGTCCCCTGCTTTCAGCTCTGGTTTGGGAATGGTGACCTCAGCGGTGGGAAGCGTGGCCTCCACTTCAGGCAGGGAGACATCCACGTCAACTTTGGGTGCTTTGATATCTGTTTTGGAGAAGCCCATGCTGGGCATCTTGAACTTTGGCATGTGCATTCTCATTCCGCCGCCCTCGATGCTGCCTTCGGCCTCAGGAACCTTGACGGAGACCTCTGCCTCCGGCCCTTCAAGTTTGGCTTTGGGAAGCGACACGTCAGCTTCGACCTTGGGTAGGCTGACTCCCACGTGTGGGGTCTTGACTTTGGGGACTTTGACGCTTGGCATCTTTACATCAGGCATTTTGAATTTACCCTTCTCTCCAACCTCTAGTTCCACGCTCGGTGCCTGGATTTCTGCTTCTGGCAGCTTTACGTCGGCTGCCACGTCCACGGAGGGCAACGTTGCTCCGACTTTGAGTTCGGGCTTGGGCAATTCCGCATCCGGTAAGGTGATTTCTGCTCCTGCACTTGCCTTCCCTTTAGGGAGAGATACTCCAAACTTGGGCATGTGGAACTTTGGCATTTTGAACCTGCTGTCCACTCCTTCCAGCTTCACGTCAGGGCCTTCCACGGAAATGTCAACCGAGGGTGCCTCCATTTCTAGTCCTGGAGCTTCAAGTTCTCCAGCTGGAAGCTTAACGTCAGGGCCGGAGAGGCTGACGTCAGCAGCAAGGTCCCCTGCTTTCAGCTCTGGTTTGGGAATGGTGACCTCAGCGGTGGGAAGCGTGGCCTCCACTTCAGGCAGGGAGACATCCACGTCAACTTTGGGTGCTTTGATATCTGTTTTGGAGAAGCCCATGCTGGGCATCTTGAACTTTGGCATGTGCATTCTCATTCCGCCGCCCTCGATGCTGCCTTCGGCCTCAGGAACCTTGACGGAGACCTCTGCCTCCGGCCCTTCAAGTTTGGCTTTGGGAAGCGACACGTCAGCTTCGACCTTGGGTAGGCTGACTCCCACGTGTGGGGTCTTGACTTTGGGGACTTTGACGCTTGGCATCTTTACATC